AATTATTTTCTAGTATTATTTGGAAGCGTTGGTTGGTAGTTTATTTAATTGTGTTTTTGAAAATTAAACACTGGTTTATTCCATTGCGGAAAGATATCATTTCGCTTTACTTTATGAACAATAAATGTGTGAATAGAACAGCTCAGCTATTTAATGAACAACATCAAGATCGACATGTCAGGAGGAAGTATGTTCTAGAGTTAGTAAAAAAATTTCAAGAGACAGGGAACGTAGCCAATAAAAAACGAGAAATTGAAAAACCTATAGTTAATGAAGCTAGTGAAGTTGCAGTTTTGGGACAAGTTCATCTTGATCCTACATTAAGTACGAGGCAGCTGGCATCTGTGTCTGGGATCAATCGAACTAGCATACAAACCATTTTGAAGAAGAATAAATTCCATCCATACAAAATACATTTAGTCCAGGAACTTCATGAGGATGATTATGACCGCCGTTTGCAATTTTGCGAAATAATGAGTGAGCGAGCAGGGAACGATCCACAGTTCCTTTTTAACATCTGTTTTTCTGATGAATGCAGTTTTTTCTTGAACGGGACGGTAAATCGTCACAATTGCCGCTATTGGTCCGATTCAAACCCAAGAGTTTTTCACGAGGTGCATACACAGCAACCGGAAAAATTAAATGTATGGGCTGGAATTTTCGGTGACCGGCTGGTGGGTCCTTTTTTTCTACCTGGTAATTTGACTGGCCAAATGTATTTGCAATTACTGGAAGACGCTATTGACCCTGCCTTTACTGATAGTATGGAAAATGTTCCAGAGTTTGATGAAGATCATTTGATTTTTCAACAGGACGGTGATCCTCCGCATTATGCGTTAATTGTCCGTCAGTATTTGGACCAACGATTTCTACAGGATTGGAGAGAAGAGGCAGCATTGAGTGGTCTCCACGATCACCGGATTTATCGTCCCTTGATTTCTTTTTGTGGAGATAGCTAAAAAGTAAAATGTATAAAACACAGCCAGTGTCGCTGAAAGATTTGCGTCAAAGAATCGTCGACGAATGCCGTCGAATCACTTCGGAAATGCTTCGGAATGTGCGCGAACGTTTCGAACAAAATCTTTATTCTTGTATGGAAGCGGGCGGTCGTCAGTTTGAACATTTAATCAACTAAGTAGTAAGTAAGCAATTAAACATAATATAAACTTTAAAATGTAAATTTTCTTCAAAGTATTGGACGGATTTATAAAATTTAAAGTCTGTTGTAAGGAGAATTGTAAGAGTTTTCAAAGGAAATATTACTCAACCCCCAATGCCATTTAAATATTTTGGGGGAGAAAGTGGCGGAGTCAAAAATACCAGCAAAGAATGTCCCTCTTCAATCTAAAATCAACGGGTCTGAGCGTTTTTCTACAATCTTGACCCAGTTCCTGAAAATGGCTCTATTTCGTTTTCATTTGGCCAACCTGTATTTAGATAAAAGAGATAGAGATAGATGTTTGTATACATAACTGAGCATTGGCAAATACGTGACGACTGCTCTAGTTTTTAGTGGCTGTTCATTTGGTACAATTGTGGGCAAATTACGAATATACCTATTTAATAGTTAAATTCTCCCCATTATCATTTCTTTGTTGAAACTCAGACTACAAAGACTTTAAATACTCAAGTTGATCTTGTGGAATTTTAATTTTGGAGTATCTTGTGTTAGCAAGCTTATTCTTGTTTCGTAAGATATTTTTCATCATGTCATAAGAAGAAAGAAGATTTGTTACTCAAGTTTTAATACCCATAAATGCTCAACTTCAGTATTTTGAGTTTAGAACTTGAGAAAGCAGACCAGATGGACTCAAACGAACCCTGTATTCGGATTCAACGACCCCAAAAAGGTATAGGTACTACCATCTTGTCTTCCGGACCTCCCATTTTTTTTGTGAGGATTTGTTACTGGAAAATGAAATCTTGAGTTAGTAGTAGTTAGTGTGGCTAGTAGATATTCATATTTAAAGGCTGCTGTGACAAAAAATATTTTGTTATTAGTTGACAACGGCTTCATTTCAAATAAACGATTTTTCATAAACCCCTCATAATAATGAAAACGAAATAAAACACTCTTCTCTTCATACCACAACTGTTTTTTTTTTTATTAAAAAAGGTGTATATTTGGGGTAACAACTTTTAGAAAATTTGGAAAGAAAAACACAAAACTCAGTCATAGGATAAATATACCTCTCACATTAGATTTACATTTTTTTATAATCTATGAACAGTTCGACAACATAGAAAAATATTTATATTCTATATTACAAAATTATCTGCCTTAATTAAAGTTTTTCAAGGCACCTTTACATAATACAAAAAAACTAAAATCCACGGTAGCGGAACCGAAATCCAAAAAAAAAATACATATAAGTGCTAATGAGAACTATAAATACATTTTGGCCACGTGGATTGTTCTAAACTAGTGGCTAAAAAGCCTTACATCAATACATTTATTATAATATATTACACCGCATATACCTGCCAAAAGTTCTAATAAAAACCTGTGCTGGGTCTTATTACAACTTCCAGCAAAACGGACTTGGATAGCATAATTCTTACTAATAAATAGTACAGATATGCTAAATACTGACAGAGATAAAAACAAAATCAAATCGTGTCAACCAAAGCGAAAGTACCAACTTAACCCTTGAAAAACAAAATCTAAGCCTCAAAAATCACAAGTAGATCACAAATATAAATAACAGGTTCCAAACCAAAAATGACCACGCGTTTTTTAATAGTAAAATTTTTCAATTATTACGGTACGTTCCTTCCAAAAAGGTTAATGGAACTGTAGTGATCAGGATTTTCAAATTATTGATAGATATTAAGATGGTATTAATATTATAACATTATCTAATTTTTTTTGATAGTTCTGAATTGGAGAAAGTAATGCTTAATTAATAAAAATAAAATGCCTTTCCAGTAAATCCGTATTATATGATGAGTAATAGGCATTTTTTAGAAAAATCAATGAGAATATGTGAAAAATATAAAACAATTAATACAACTTATAATTTTTCCCAAAATTCAAGAATTTATATAGTTAGTGAAAACTCGTGACACTGCATTAGAGACGAATAAAACGTATTAAATTAATCCCAAAAATGACCACTCAGTGTTAGAGCATAACAAAATATTTTGCTTTAGAAGCTTTAGAGGCAACAACAAGAGCCGAAATGAACAACAGGTCGGGTCTAAGGATTCTACTACCAGATCCGCCCTTACATAGCCTTGCCCGAGAACAACAAGGACAGGTCGAAGATGCCTAGTTCAGGCGGAAGTCTGTAACTGGTGGAACCAGATTCACAGGCCACTATCGTACCTTAAAGGAACCAATTTGCTGCAGCTGATTTTTCACCTTAATTTTATTTTTGCAAGCCATAAGTGTACAGTTTTATAAAATACTTAACAAAACAAAACCATTTCCTAAATGCTTATATTTTCAGATATTTTCTAAAGTTTCTGATTATCCCTAAATATTTTGATTAAGTATCAGATATTAATCGGTATACCTGTTTATTCACATTGTCGTATTAAATTTGTATTCTTAGAGATGTTTACTTTGTTCAGTTAATACTGTTCCGTAGTGTTCAGGATAATTATAAAGTTACTGCAAAGCATTTAATTTGAATTTGCTAGGACTTTAAAATCGATAATAATTATGTTACTCCTGCCAGTAAATACATAGCATAACTCCATTGTTAGTACTATAATGGTATCGATAAAAATTCTCCACGAAGCTATATAGAAGATTGTCAGTACTGTTCATAACTTTTCATTTTAGATAGAAATTGTGTTCTGTGGCCAATTATACATACTGTAATGTACGTGTGTTAATCTGGACAGGCGAGAAATGACCACTCAAACAAGTTCTGTTTTAAAATTTGTAGGTATACAGAGAAATCTATAGATAAAACTATATTGTTTATAGATTCTGGTTCATTTGCAAGAATTAATTTGTAATATATACCTACCAATCAAAACAAACAATTAATTGAAGTCAGAATTTCAAAATGCCAGAATCGTATCGCGAAGAATTTTGTCAAAAAATTCGCCCTATACATTAATTGTATTATTTAATATATCATATTAAAAGTACATGAATCAGTGATGATGCTCAAAATTTGATTTTTTGCCTCACTTTTGAATTAACAATGAAATGTTTTCATTAGTTTTTTAGTACCATTTTAACAATTGGGATTGATTAATATTTTCGTACGTTTGCTCACTATTAATAGCCCAATGCAATCCTTTTGTAATTTTACAGAATTGAAAAACACTCTTGAGGGCATATCTATTTGAATGTATTTATCACATTTTTCCCTCCGTAAAAAAACTTATAGCACACGCTTCCAATAAGAATTTACGTCAATAACGAAAAGGTACTTACTTAGACTTACAGTTTTCAAAATAATTGTATTTCCCTAGTTGCATATAAGTACTGAGAAGTAATGCTACAAGACCCTTAAGGTGGCCATATCTCTGGCCGAGAAATGGTGAAATTTCTGGCATTTTTAGGTACTGAAATCTTGAAAAGTAAAACGTGTAGAACAAAAGTAAGCACAAAAATATTGTTTATTCATTGTTACCATTTAAATTTACCCAAATAAAATAATAACTAAAAAAAATCGTTTGTAAAACATGCGTTTTCTGTTATCCTAACCCCACATTTTAATAATTATTTTCACGTACTTATAAATAAAAGTAAACAATTTTATATGTAGGACTAAGCAAGTAAATGTTATAAGAATATTTACATGTGGAGTTATGTCTAAAAAAGTTAGTATTTTCGTAGATTTCAGTACCTAAAACCTTGATGGTTTGAACGTTTTTTGCACCTGTTTATTCGTTTCACTGCGGCGTCTTTGAAAATACTCAGGTGGCATGACATAACATTCCTATTATTTGATAAGCTTTAGATTATTCAGTTATTAAATGTTTGAAATTATTTGTCTTTGCGGAAAACACTATTTAAAGAATATGGGGCCCTTAAGCATTTTAGAAAATCTGAGCATAATTTTAATTCGTTTGTTTATCTTACGTTTCCTGGATTTTGCACGCCTTTTACGTACTACGTTTTCTGATGTTTATATGTTCTTCATGATCCTTTACTGCGAAAAACGAGGTGAAAAGTTGAAAAAATCCTTGTGTTTTTATTTTTAGATGCCTTAATATAGACAGCTGCACTGAATAATAGTTTCCTTATTAGAAATTTTGTCAACAAAATCACATTAAAAGCTTTGGTATTATTAATATCTATTAATTCTAACTGTTCTCACTGCTAAGATAATTAAAAAATTGGTTAAGTAATAAGTTTGAACTAATGATATCGTGGGTAACCACTATTCTGCAACTACCACCCAAAATGTCACTGTTAAATATAACATACAATAAAGTATGACAAAAGAATCAGAAGCATGGTTTTGGTCACTGATTTATGACGTAGGTACTTTCTATATGCTATATAAAAGAAGAATCATACAAGGTACACTTTTATGCTCTGTAAGATATGCGAATTGCACAATGCCTAACATTTTGGAAAATCAGAGCTTCTTCTACTTCTGTGGCTTATACCAAAAATAATTTAACTATCAAAATTCTTCACTTCACTTTACATTGTAATAGGTTTAATTTGACATAGCAAATCTCACAAAAAATATATTCCCTTTCTTTCCGAAAATTTCGTCTGCATCGGGTCGAGTCTTACTAAAGTTACTATGTACAATATTTTTGACACTTTCAAGGAAGACTTAGCCTAAAACAATCGCTTTAACGACTTTAAATGTGGTCATTTTTGCTTCGGCTTGATTACAGGTAATTATAATATTTAAATCACAATATAACAACATTGTTTACCTCTAGTATTAAATAAAATGATTGTGAACCTTAAGTCACATTTGGGTAGTTCTTACGCATGCTGTGTATATAAAAGTTAAAAGTAGATTTTATAATTTATAGTAGGATCAAAATATAGTTTAAAACGATTATTCTGAGTATCACAGAATGAACACTACACCTAATGGCTCGTATAAAAAGTCCTTAGATACGAAGTTTTCAATTTATACGGCTTTTTTTCAGTTAATATAGTAGTTAAAATATCTGAAGAATCCTTAATGGTATTAATGTCATCACTAAGACATGCCAGAAGAAGGATCGTCCATATCTTCTGCTGCAGTCTCACTCCATTTACTAGTATTATAATCAGTGCTGTCAGAGTAACTAACATCTCTTACTGAATAATCAACGTAATCAATATTGTCAACATTTTTCACGAACATAGGCTCTGTATTTACCACCCTACTACTATACCTCTGTTCTTCTGAATCTCCAGAAACGACTGGCTTTGTCTTTTTCTCCCTTTCATCTATACTCTTGTTGGACACTACTTTGCTCTTTTCTCTGGGGTTTGTTTCTGACTCTGCCCCGTCTTTCGGATTTAGGTGCAACTTTGCGATGCGATTTTGGACGATTTGCAAGTGCCTCAGGACGTAGTCTTCTTCTGGGGCTAGTCTGTGGGCCTCCTGGAGGCAGGACTGGGCATCTAGAAGTTTGCCCCTCTCCACGTGCACCACGCACAGGTTGTGAAGCCCTTGGATGTTGCCTGGATCTAGTTCCAAGATCCGTCTGTAGCACTGTAACAAAATGTTGTAGATACAATAGGTCTGTTAGTCTAAAAAATAGTAAGTATTCGACTTACAGGGTGCGTACAATAGGGTGTAAGAAAGAAGTGATATTGAGAGAAACAACTACTCCGCGGACTAATGCCTCAAGCGGCTTGGGATCATTCGTCAGCCAAACCACCAGTCAAATATCGGTTTCAGACTTATTAGTTCTGATCAGTACGCTATAGGTATGACAACTGACAAATGATTTAGCTATTTTAATGTCTTAACTACAGATATGGAGTGAGTTTATGTGAGATATAATAATAATAATGCTATAATACATGTACGAATGGTCACTGCCGATCAATGTCTGCTGGGAGAGAAGGACTTGCTATTTTGCAGTTATATGAAGGCAAACCCTGTATCGCCACGAACATAATATATTTTTTATTTCATTGTTTAAATTTAAGAAAATTCTCTTACACAGGGTGTTCCCGAGATAATAGGCCGAAATTCATGATTCTCGAAGCAAAAGTGTTGTGATTTAGCCGAACTTACCTTAGTCCAAAAGTTGATAGTTAAAGAGATACAGGGTGTTAAATGTAAAATATAAAGTTTTTTTTCATTTATTTCTTAACAAATGCAAATATCCTCACAAAATTTTGAGGTTCTTTAAGTAGAGGAATTGAAATGTGTTCACATTTTGGTTAAAGTTCGTAGAGGGCGCTAGCTGCAGTAGATTGAATGTGTTAAAAACGACTTAACTTTCTTATATTTTAAAGTAGCTCATCTTTGGTATAAAATCCTTATTTTCCAACTTTTTTTACACAAAAAAGGTAGACTTTATGAAACTAGCTGTCTCGGAACGTTTTCGAGATATTTGACTTTTAAACATCCAATACTGTTGAATTAAATTACAATGAAGTACCTACCTATTATTATTTTAGCGGTGAAGTTTCTTAAGTTTAGACGAAAATTAAATAATTGACATATTCACACAATCTTTTAATAAACGTGTTGATAAATGTTCTGAAGTTAGAGGTGGACATTTTGAGTAATTATTGTCAAAAAGGCATATTTTTTACTAATGTTTATTATTTTACTGTTCATTACAATTTTTAATTGTAAATAAACCCTTGTTTTTAACATTTCTAAATTATTTTAATTATTTCAAATATTAGCTTTGGAAGTTTCAAAGCCAAATATCTCGAAAACGGAGTGAGACATCTACTTTCATAAAGTATGCCGTTTTTGTGTAAAAAAATTGAAAAATAAGAATTTGATACCAAAGACGAGATACAGTACAAAAAAGTTATGTCGTTTTCAACACATTCAATCTACGGCAGCTGGCGCCCTCTATGAACTATAATCAAATTGTGAAAAAATTTCAATCCAAAGAACCCCAAAATTTTGTGTCGATATTTGCATTTATTAAGAAATAAATGAAAAAAAAACCAAAATAATATTTTACATTTAACACCCTGTGTTTTCTTACCTATCAACTTTTGGACTAAGGTAAGTTAAGTTAAATTGCATTATTTTTGCTTCGGAAAACTACGCATACATTTTAGCGCATTACCTTGGAACCACTTTATATAAACATGTGCGTTTCTAGTCCTCAGTTTTGAGATATTGGGTGTTCAAGTTCAAACGTATCTCTAAATATCTTCTAAACACATGGAACAAAATTTTCTGTACTAATAAAACTGCAATCAACGTGAAAAATTAGGTTCCAATTAAAATCAGTGGCGTAGATAAGGAAAGTTATGACAGATTATGAGGAAAAATGGTATTTTTCACAAACAGGTTTTATTTTCAAAGACAATTATTTCTTAATTTCTCAATTTCCATAGTTTTTATCGTTTTGGACATTATATTAATTATTTAGATGGCAAAAAAACTTTTTGAGGTTAGTATATTTTGTTCTTATATCCTTTGCATAAATAATAAATATAACGTTTGCATCTGATTTATAAACAAATGTTCAGTATTAATTCTAATGTCACCTACATTTATACTTATCACAGCTAAGATATAAAATTATCAAATCTATACTTTGTAATTAAAAATAATATAACATAAAGGATAACGAAAACGAATGTGCGCGTTTAATGGATAAAGAATAACAGAAATCTTTCCAGTTGCCAGAATACTGAACAATATGTTTTCTATGAAATGGTTTACCAGTTCTTGTTAAATAAAAACAGTATTTAGACTCTTTCTTTATATAATTTGATATAAAAAGATAGAGTTATCTTTGGCAAATAGATTACAAGTTTGTAGATACCCTGTACAAATTAGAAATTTTAATGAGTGGTTAAAAAAAGTTGCTAAATATTCTTTCTAAGTTGACTTATATCTGAAAGTAAATTCAATTCTCTGAAAACGTCTGATAAATTGTATCTAGCTTTCGTCCAACTTTAATTTATAAAGTTTTACAATACAGCTGGCTGACCCAATTCTCACCCTCAAAACACAGCGACATTAAAAAGGTTTCTTCAAGGTGCCAGAGTTATATTTTGTTGTGTAACACATTTATCATCGCCATTTCTAAACTAAAATTACAAATTTAAGGCATCAAGTTATAGCAAGAATATAAAAAAATTGATGACACTATATCAAAGTCAGATTAAAACACAAAAACATGTAGTATTTAATTTACAAATTATTGAGACTGAGAAAACATGAGAAGAAAAGGTGGTCTGTCAGCAATCATAATATTAGAATATCTAATTGAAATATCCAGTATTCAAATATCCCATTTCTTTAATTGTATTAATTTAAAGTACCTAAAATAGTTTTTTTGCGTTGTGTCGTTATATACATTCTGTGAAAAAAGTATCCGGAATTTATCATTTAAAAATTCCGCGTAAAGTAGATTTAAATGTATTTTTCGATGGAAAGTTGGTAGCACTGTAATCTACTCTGAAGCGAAGTTTGAGCGCTATGTGTCAAGTAGTATGTCGTAATTTTATAAGTTCACCTACAGTGTTTTCCGCGATTTTTACTATGGATCAAAGAGTTCGCCTAAAATTTTATGCGATCAACGGAATAGTTTGAGCTGAATCATTGAAAATGTTGAAGAAGATGTATGGTAATTCAGTTTTAAACTCAAGCATACGAATGGTATAAAGCAATCAAATATGGTCAAGAAGTGGTTGATGATTTGCCACGCTCTGGTCGTCATTTTCAACTGAAGGAAACATTGATAAAGTGGAGGAAATGGTGCTTACAAAGTGTTATGATAGTTTGAAAGAGTGAGATATACTAACTAAACATATCTCACGAATCAGTTAACACCATTTTAGATGATATTTTGGTAATGAAAAACGTCACTACATTGCTGATTCCAAAAGGGTTGAATTTCCTTCAAAAAGAGCATTGCAAACATATTGCTGAACTAGCTAATTCAGAGTCTACAATCAGGCAAAGCATCATAACATGCAAACGAATAAGCTCCGGAATGGCGCTTTTCTAATGAGCCGAAACCAAACAAAAAAACGTCAAAGTCAATCAATAATGAAAGTTACGTTGTCTGTTTTCTATGACTATGGTGGTGTTGTCCACAAAAAATGGAGAAACAGTCATCAAAGTCATCTGTTAGTTATGCGAGAGTATCCGCTCCAAAAGACCAGATTTATGGAAGGACAATTCCTGGATTTTGCACCATGATAATGCACCATCACAAAAAGCGATAATTATGAATGAATTTTTTTAACCAAAAACTCAACGAATGTCATCGAGCAGTCATAGTATTCGGCGGATACGGCAACTGCTGACTTTTTCCTCTCCCAAACTCAAATTACTACTTCGTGGAACACGTTTCATGTAGATAGCTGTCGTCGCTGTCCGAACCCATAGGCTCGCCACCGATTTGGAGACTTCATGCAGTGTCAGCAAAGCCTAATCAAATATTTTTTTCTTTGTATGCTTAGAAATCGTTCCCTTCAAAATTTTATGGGTCCTATTCTTAATTATCAAAATATGACCAATTTAAATTTCACCAGTTGGCATTGGTATCAACTTCAATCTCACGCACTTGTTTATAGAGGCGAAACACATATAATGAGACATAACTTCGGTGTATACTCCGCGGTAGAAATTATAGAGAGTGATTCATACATAATATAGAAACACTATTACCGTAAAATGTATAAAACTTAAAATGATTTTTATAACGGTTCAATATTATTTGCTTATGTTAAATGATGTACCGCACATCGATAGGATCTATAACAGTCATAGACTGAGTTACACTGAACGCGATTTATTTCCTATCTCTGTCTATCGCACTTATTACAGATAGGGAAATGCTATTTTTAGTGGGTGTAAACGGACATACGTAGAATTCGAGTTAGCCGTAGTTAGAAACGTCAAACTATAAGCGCGCGCGAGGGTTTGCATATTCCGTGACTATAGTAAATTTATAAATTAAAAAAATACAATCGGGACGTTTTAAAACGTAGGAATAATAATTAAAATGGATCAAAGTGCCGGTTGTAGCAAACGGTCTGTTGCTCATAAACGCCCTAACCTATGCGATGCGGAATTAATAATGGTAAAAAACGTGTATAAAGGAATTCGGTCGCGAAATTCTAATACAAGTGTAAGTGAAGCTGTTGATATGTGTAGTTCGTTGACAAAAGTATCCGTTGCTACTGTTTATCGTGCCATAAAAAATAGTGTAGAAGTGAATCCAAAGAAGAAAAAAGTGGAAACACGAGGGAGGAAGAAAATAGAAGTCGACGTTGACGTGAAATACTCCATACGTAGGAAAATTCATGGATTTTTCTTTAGAAATGAAATACCAACGATAAAGAAAATTCAAGCTGCAATAGCTGAAGATGAGGATATTCCTAATTTCTCTGATAAGGTTCTTAGAAGAATAATGCGTGACATGAATTTTCGATATTTGAAACGGAATCGGAATAGTATGCTCGTTGAAAAAGACGAAATTGTGGTATGGCGAAGAGAATACTTAGAAAAAATAAGAGAACTTCGTGCATCTGGTAAGAAGATATATTACA